ATCCTGGGAGATAGGGCTGCTGGGGTAGGTCGGTCCCCTGCTATGAGACCCAGAAGGGGGCGATAATCTGTGATGAGTTTGAAGTCTCTGCCGAACAGGTATTCGTGGAACTTCTTGACTCCTGAGACAGCTGCCAGGGCCTCCTTGTCAAGTTGACTGTAGTTCCGTTCAGCGCTCGAAAGAGTCTGGGAGTAGTAGGCGATGGGCGCCTCTAGACTGTTCGGTAGACTATGGCTCAGGACGGCCCCCACGCCGAAGGGGGATGCATCAGAGACTAGCACTAGGGGAAGTGTAGAGTTGTACTGAATTAGAAAACTCTCGGCCGACAGGAGTTTCTTTACGGCAGCAAACGCGGCAGCCTCAGCCTTTCCCCAAACCCATTTGGACTTTTTGGCCAACAGTCTGTGCAGGGGCTCTACTACTGTTGCCTTGTCCATTAGAAAAATTGTGTAAAAGTTCAATAGTCCCAGGAACGCTTATAGTTCCGCCTTGTCTTTGGGGGTGGGGGCCTCTTGGATTGCCCTATTCTTGCTCTCGGTGGGGTGTATGCCGGTTCCGTCTATCCGATACCCCAAGAATTCCACAGAAGGGATTGTGATCATGCAGTTGTTGCGTTTGACCCTGAGTCCTGCACTTCTGAACTTCCCTAGTATGTGTCTCAGCCTCTCCCCTAGTTGCTGTTCGTCTTCTGTGGTGACGAGCACATCATCAAAATACGGGACCACCCCGGGGATCCCCTGTAACAGTCGCTCCATAGTGCTCTGGAACAATCCCGGAGCTATGCTGACTCTGAATTGGAGTCTGGTACACTTGAAGGCACCTCTATGCATTACTATAGTCTGTGCCTCTGCGGTAGCGCCATCTACCAGCAACTGCTGATACGCCTGCGCAAGAACGAGTTTAGCGAAGATCTTGCCGGGCCCTAGGGAATGCAACAGATGGTGTACGATCGGAACCAGGTAAGCGCTCTGTTGGAGAGCCTTATTGATCGTACACTTATAGTCCACGCAAATGCGCACAGACCCGTCAGGCTTAACGGGGGTCACAATTGGGGTCTCCCATTGGGCATGATCGACTGGCACTAACACCCCCTGCTCTCGGCTTGTCGTTCGTTCAGAACTGCGATAGGAAATAATCACCAGTAACGCACAGAGAATCAGGGTTTACTTTGGCAATGATAAGCTTGCAGTCAAAAGTAAAGTACAAGTCGGTGTTTTGGTTCAAAGTCAGCGCTGGGTGTAATCACACCACAGTGCTATTTAACAAAAACTCAGCCCCTTAAACATACATCCGGTGATTATCAATCAAGCACCCCCCACTCCCTTAACAGTAACAGCTGCGAGCACCAGAGCAGCGAGGACAGCAGAATCGGAGAGGCCCAGCAACGTCATCAATCATCGCCCTGAATGCTGCTATCCAGGAACTATTTGTGTGTTCGCTGCGGCTGCTTATCTCCACTCCTTTTCCTCCCACACCCTCCATTGATGGCGAGCTCCGGTAGGACTCGACACCTGCTTTATCAATTTATCCAGTCGATCTTGGGCTTTAGGGCGAAGGGCAGCCTCCTGGGTTTCAGCCGGATGGGAGCAATATTGGGGTCAAGGTTGAATGAAATAGGGGTCCCCACATACTTGCCGAGCCGCTCGTCGAACACGTCCTGGAACTCCCGCATCAGGTCGTCCTTCAGGGTGCTTCGCACATTGCGGACTCTAGTGAATCCCATGCCCAGGGCTCTGAGCCAGTCCATGCCCAGGAGGCTTGGGAGCTTTCTGCTGACCAGGGTGAGGGGAAGCTTCTCCCAGAATTCCCCGTACTCCACCTGGAACTTGCCGATTCCTTCCACGGGGATGCAGTTCCCCTGGTAATCGCGCAGTCCCAGCCGCTGGTGCCATAATTGCCGTCTCTGGATGCTGGGGACAGCCTTCTTTAGCTTGTCCTAGGACATGATGGTAATTGGGGATCCGGTGTCGATCTCCATTACGCACTCATGCCCCTCGATGTCAACCGTCGTGTAGGTCTTTTCCCCAGGGGATGTGCAGGTCCGGCCGATTCAAATGGTGCAGGCCTCGAGATCCTCAGATTTCACGCTCTTCCTGTAGCAGCCCTTCAGATTGGTTCTCGTCCTCTGCGCTGTCTCTGATTGGCTAGCGTTGCTCCGCGGCTTGTAATGTGGGTTCTGCTTGGCTCTGCAGACTCTAGTGATGTGCCCCTTCCGCTCACATTGCCTGCAAATGGCGTCTCAGAACTTGCAGGTCTGGCACGGATGGGGTCCCCCACAACTCGCACAGGCATCTCAGTGGCCTCGCCAGTCCTGCCGGTACTTTTCGGTCCGGCAGACCTCCTTGTCCGACTCTTCCTCGCTCCCTGTGCCTATGGTTTCCTGGTGAACCGGGGCTGGCTTCTGTGCTGTTCTGCTCTGTGTCATCCCCTGTAGTCTCTCGGCATCCATCTTCCATCTCTTTATTCTGCAGGCTCCTCTCCATAATATTTTCAACGGGCTATGGTCTGCCCAGTCATTAACTTCAATTGCCACATCTAACACCTGGTCACATAACCCTACAGTCATCCAGGCCATATATAATCTGTACCAGGAATGATGTCTGGGGGAGAAATAAGTACCCTGTTTCTTTCCCAGGTTTCTGTCCCTCCATATATCTCTCAGCCCTGTTACCTCTCTAATCTGTTTACAAATTTTTGGCAAAAGCTTCCTCCTCTTTTTCCTGGCTTTACCTCTCTCTGGTATATAATCCAAATTTGGGTCTACTACTGCATTAAAGTCCCCGAGCAGACAAATATTGGCATAGTTTACCTCTAATAGCTTCTGATATAATTTCCCGTAAAAGTTTACTTGGTTTCCATTTGGGGCATAGATTCCAACCAACAAGGTACATTATCCAAACTGTATCAATTCCTCTTAATGGATTGGATCGGAGAGGAGGTTATCAAGGACTCAATGATTGCCTGGGGGAGAAATTTGGGATATTCAATAGAGCTTGAAAAATAGGAAGAAATTTGGGGGGAAACCCTAAAACTAACAATGTTGGTTTCCTATAAGGAAAATACATATAAAATGCTGTATAGATGGCACCTCCCTCTGGCTAGATTATCGAAGATGTTCCCAGGAACCTCCACAGTTTGTTGGAAATGTAACGCCACTATGGGAAGTTATTTTCATATTTGGTGGACCTGTCTCCGAGTAAGAGAATATTGGACCAGAATTAAAAAATGGATTTTAGAAATCATAGGATGTAGGATAAAATTGAACCCAGAAATGTTTTTACTAGGCATGAAACCAGAGAACTTAAACAAATCTAATTGGTATCTCGCTCTCCACATCATCATTGCAGCCAGGATCTCGTTTGCGCAAGAATGGAAATCCAAAAATATCCCATCGGAGGCTATGTTAACCGCAAAGATCATGGACTCTGTAGAGGCAGACAAGCTTACCGGACTTTTGCGAGATAGACAAGAATCGGGGCTATATATGAGTTGGGATCGGTGGTATGCTTGGCTGCAAAAAAGAAATCTTAAGAAGAATGTAAAATAATAATCTTAGTGTGACTGTGGGTAAATATTTATAGGAATATTGCATGGCAGAAAAAATTCTTTTTTCTGGATAATCCTTTTTTTGATGATTTGGTTTAATGGAGGTTTGTACTATTTCTAGGCGAAAATTGATGCTTTAAAACTCTATATGTATTATATCACTCTCTGCAATTCTATCCATATTGCTATATTTTTTTCTGTAATTTTTAATAATTTTCAATAAAAATAAAAATAAAAAGTAAGGTTCTATATTTAGGGAAGAAAAATAAAACGCACAGGTACCGTATATGTGGTACCTTGCTCAATAGTAGTAACTGTGAGAGGGATCTAGTGGACAACCATTTAGATATGAGCCAAGAATGTGCAGCAGCTGTCAAAATAGCCAACACAGTTCTGAGCTGCATAAACAGAGGAATAGAATCAAGATCACGTGAAGTGTTAATACCACTTTATAATGCCTTGGTAAGGCCACACTTGGAATATTGCATTCAGTTTTGGTTGCCACAATAAAAAGATGTTAAGGCTCTAGAAAGAATGCAGAGAAGAGCAACAAAGATGATTAGGGGACTGGAGGCTAAAACATATGAAGAACAGTTGCAGGAACTGGGTATGTCTAGTTAATGAAAAGAAGGACTAGGGGAGACATGATAGCAGTGTTCCAATATCTCAGGGGTTGCCACAAAGAAGAGAGAGTCAAGCTATTCTTCAAAGCACCTGAGGGTAGAACAAGAAGCAATGGGTGGAAACTAATCAAGGAGAGAAGCAACTTAGAACTAAGGAGAAATTTCCTGACAGTTAGAACAATTAATAAGTGGAACAACTTGCCTGCAGAAGTGGCGAATACTCCAACACTGGAAATTTTTAAGAAGATGTTGGATAACCATTTGTCTGAAGTGGTGTAGGGTTTCCTGCCTGGCTAGGGGGTTGGACTAGAAGACCTCCAAGGTCCCTCCAACTCTATTATTCTCTTCTCTTCTCTTCTCTTCTCTTCTCTTCTCTTCTCTTCTCTTCTCTTCTCTTCTCTTCTACTGTATTACCTAATTCAATGGCTGTTTTTGACACTGTTTTTGTCTATCATGAAGGAAGCTTAGAAGCTGCCTCTTCTTGTTTCTCCCTCAATCCTCTCTCTCTTTTCTCACTTTGGAATGCTTCAGTATATAAATCATTTGGGGGGGAGGGGAAGGATAGCATATTTATAGATAAGTGTTGTTTGAACCAATGGTAGCATTAAAGAAGAATACATACTGTAGGATATGAATGTTCATTAAAAATGAATCAATGATATGAAAAAAGGATTGATGGCTAGTGATTTAAGAAACAGAAACCTATAATTTATTCATAAATTTATCAGGATCTAAGGACTCCTAATCTATTTTACTTTGCAACAATGGCTATAGGAATATTAAGTTAATCCTGATCTGTGTGGAGATATATCTGGGGAATATTAGACTTACCTTGGATGCAAGTTGCTTTTTTGACTGTTGACCCGAAGCTGAAAAAGTAAAACCAAAGACACAAAAAATGTGTATCATTTTCATCAAACTGATTATTATTTACCCAGGTTGATGCTGAACTAATAGATAAACAGCTGAAATTATGCTAAAAGTAAACATTTCTCAATATATATAGATGAATGGATGTTAGTAGCTACTTGTAAATATAGTATACCTAACAGACAAATTCTTAGATTAGATAACAAAGTTGCAACAGTATGGATAGAACATGGCAAATCAGACTGGCTGGGTTGTAACATGTTAGTCTGGGACTATGCTATGCAAATCCAGGTTAAGGCATGGTGAATGCTGAATCTGAAGCACCTTTCCAGTTTCAGCTGTATAGGCTCATCCCTGCTTTCAACAAATAGGTGTTTTAATATTAAAATTATTTAATATCTAAGATATGGATTTTAACAGAGATAAAACACAGTATTATGTTTATTTTACTGGTGGAACACGTCATCAAAGGCTGAATTTACAAAACATGCTATGTCAAAACCATGGTTTACTGTCCATAAATTCAAAGAAGATGCTAAATCATAGACCAAGCACATGATGGGTTGACATACTGGTACAAACTGCTCCCAGGGTCATATGTATTGTCACTTTCCTCCTTACAGTTAAGGAGACAGTTAATTCAAGGGATTTGGGTAATAATATTTATTAGGGCTGTACTTCCAAAGGCAAATCCTTCCATAAAAGTAAGTTAGGGCAATATATCTGTTGTCCATTTTCTCCCACATTTCCTTAATAGAGGGCTGGATGTGTCCTTTATAAAAGATGGACAATCCTCATCTGCTCACTCTTTTGATAACTGTCACTCCTATCAACTCTCACAACAATGCACAATTACATATTCTTTCTCTAAATCCGATAACATATAAATTTTGAAATATTAATAATATACTGAAAAGTTAAAAAATGGTCTTAATACTTGGTTTCCAACTGCGAAGTGACAATCAGAATTCTGCCAAATACCTTCTCAAACATTTTAGCATATATAGTAAATCTCATTGCAGTTTGTGTATGCTCTCTTGTTACTATTCCCAATTTCCATGATTATTTTTAACATATAAGCCACTTAGAATTCAGTGACTGAACTAGCGTGTGCCTTCAGTACTTAAATAAATACAGATTATTACTTTCATAAGCACCCATAACAATCTATAAGATAAAAACCCATACTTTATGAAATAGCCTTTTCATTCATGATTAAACCTTCACTTTCTTGCATATATTCATCAATACCACAAGAATCTAGCCAGGTAGCTATATTTTTATTTACCTCCCTGGAGTCTGAATCACCTGTTAAAGTTCAATAGAAATATGTATCTGATGACACTACACATTGCAATTTCTCATTCAAAAACCCAGAGTCTTTGCAATCTTAAATTAATGGGACAAATATGAAAAAAGAAGTTGTGTTGATAGCCTTTCAATGTGTCCAATTCTGATTCATTGCTTTAGATCTGTAATTATTTAATGAAATCAGTCACTTTGCACCTAACAGGCAATTAATGATACTTACTACAGGAGGAGAAGTTCAGTCTTTCTGGAAAATATTTCTTGATGGCTTTGAATGTTAACGCAAGAAAACCAACTGCGAGGATGATAGTCAGGAAACTGAGGACAGATATGACTTCTAAATGAAAAAAAACCATGTTGGATGTTGTTGATTTGAAAAGATACAAAAATAAATGTTAATGAAAAAACAGAATATTAGAGCAAAGATGAAAATGTGATACAAAGAACATGGTGGTAATCAAGTTAAAATATTAAATAATTTATTTCAAATCTCACCTGTGGAATTTGATGGACTTTTAACCATTTCTGTTCCACAGCGTTCCTTGCAATCTTCCTTATCGCAGCTAGAAGATGAAATCAGAAATTTCTGTACTTACTGATAACATTCAACAGCATTTCTTATTTTACTATCCTTTGAATCTATACCCAGAATTAGAAAATAAGGAGAATTAAATTACTCAAATTAAACCATTCAATTGACCCTTAAAATGTCAAAAGAGAGTGGAAATGTACATAATCTTGGCAAGCGCATGTTTCTGAAAGCAAGAGCAAAAGAGAATTAATCCTTCTCCAGTCCCACAAGATTTGGGCTTGAGTCCCATTAAAGAAATGTTAGATGAAAAAAAAGATTAAAATAAGAGTAAGGAGTCATTTGTGTGTGAGATTGTGTGTGAGAGCTAAGAAGTGCTAAGAATTCTAGTCAGAACTGCTAATCCCAATCAGCAAGTATTGCTCTCCAGGTTTGCATTTAGAATTAGGAACCCATATTTCCTTCATTATGTGTAGCTAGACCCAGAATAAAACCCACTAGTTGCAAGTGATTATGCTATAGAAATGTAACCCCTCTTTTGACAGGAAGGATAGGCATGTGTATGGCAATTGGCAACAGTAGAGTCAAGGCTTCAGACTCCTCTGTGTCTGTCTCACATTTGTTTGCATGCAAAAAGATATACATGGCTCTTTTCTGTCACACTTTTGCCCCTATTTTGGGATTGGCAAATTTAAATTACAGCCGACCTAGTAAAATAAAACAATGTAAATAATGTAAACTGAAACAGCTGGGCGGTACAGAGGAGGGAAATTCAAAACTGGAACTCAGTAATTCCATAATGTGCATTTTCACAATTTAACAACAGATTAGGATGAAAAACAGAGAAGCATGAAGCTCCCCAACTATTTTTAGCACCACTACTCTGGAGATTTTTCAGAAGAGACTGGACAACCACTTGTCTGAAATGGTATAGGGCAGGGGTGTCAAACTCGATCCCATTGTGGGCCATATCAGGATTTTGCCCTTGGGGGGCTAGGGTGGGCGCAGCCTGGTCATCACGGCCAACTGGGTGGGTGTGGTTGGGTGGCCCAGGCTGGTCCCACACTGTGTCTGAGACGGCCCTGCAGGATAACTCTGGGCCTATCGTGGGCCAGATCTGGCCCATGGACTGCGTGTTTGACACGTCTGGTATAGATACTCCTACTTGAGCAGAGAATTGGACTAGAAGACCTCAAAGTCTACTTTCCAACTCTGTTATTCTCTTAACTGGTAAGCACATGATGACACATCCATTCCACTGTACAAAGGATTAGAGCAGAGATCATCTTGGAAGCACAATGATAAGTCAAGACCCATTGGAAATGAGCATGGAAGCAGGAGGATGAATCAGCTGAGAGTGCAGAGACAAGACCTACAGTTACATCTAACCCAGGAGTTACTCCCACAGGTATTACAAGATAAATAACATTTCCCCACCTGCTGCAGGGAAGACATTTGTTCTGATCTTCCTTAAGAAAAAATCCTCTGTGACATTCGCATATTGTATCACTATCAGGCGTGCCTAGAATATAGCAGAAAAAGCAAATAATTATTAGGTGATAATAAGATGGGGCCAGGGGTGAAATGCTCCCGGTTCGGACCGGCTCAGGCGAGTAGGTAGTTTGGAGAACCGATAGAAAAATCCCTGCCCCCGCCCCCCCATACCCAGCTGAGCCGCGCGATCATCAGAGCCTTTTTTTTCTTTTAAATGGCTCTGACGATCCAAGCTCTGACGATCCCAGCTGAGTTGCCTGCCGATCAGGCAACTCAGCTGGGATCGTCAGAGCCTTTTGAAAGCATTTTTTACATGGTTGTACATGTAAAAATGGTTTTAAAAGAAAAAAAAAAATTGGCCACGCCCACCCAGTCACATTACCCACCACCACCAAGCCACGCTCACAGAACCGATAGTAACAAATTTTAGATTTCACCACTGGATGGGGTCTTTAAAATCCAAATAAATACTCAACCTGACATGGTCCCAAAAAGTTAAACAGACAGTTCTGATTAACATTTACATGACATGAACCAAGAAACAAGGTGTAGGCTAGATTGGGAAGTAGTAACTTCCAAAGAAAATTGGAAATAGTTTTCATGGAGAAAATAGCAGGAGCATGTGATTAAGTGGAAGAAATATTAATATTTCTATTAAAATATAATAATAGGTATCATGATAGCTTTGATTTATGGGGTCATGCTCTTTGTTTTCTGGATGAAAGAAGTTTGAAGTAAGGTGATGGGTACTATACAGGGACTGGCTAGAAGATGTTTGAAAAGACAGACAACTTGAAGAAACAGTTTAGAATTAATTATGAGATGGGGACAAAACCAGAGGAAAAGATTAACAATGATATGAGAATGGCATTGAGAAATAATGAAGCACAGAAGGTCTGAAATTAGAAAATATAAGAATGCTGAAATTTAGTATGAACTGATATTGTACTAAAAATTATAAAAAGGGAAGGGGTCTTCCTCACAAATATTCAAAATAACAGAAAGAAAAAACGAATACTTCTTTTCTGCAGCTAATGATAGCATTTGGCTTTCATAGTTTGGACTCAAAACTTAGTTATCCAGGCTAGGATGGAAGACTACCAAAGAATTTCATCACTGCAAAGCCAAAAAGCATCCCTGAAGATGACGGTAGTAGTAGTATTGTTACCAAGAAAATAAAGGAGTCCTCAAGACTTGAGTTCTCCAATGCTTTAAATCAGCTGCATCTTCTCCCGGAATTTCACAGCTGCAGCATGATCCCAGAAAAAGATTCCTTTGATTTAAAGGGTTGCAGACAGATGCTACATGAGAACTTCCAGAGGCTTTGTTTTTGTTTCTGTATAGCTCTACCTTCATTCCTTACTAATTACACATACTTTGAAGTTATCTTTTTCTATAAAACTTTCTCTGATAAATGTTGTTTTTAATTCAGTACGTAGTACCATACAATGCATGTTAAGTGGTAAAAGTTGGATCACAGATAAAAATAAGAAGGAAATGGGAAAAGATCAGCTCTGACAACAAGCAAATACATACACTGAATAAAAACATATTGTATTAGTATAGATAACATGAATGAAGATGGAGTCAGGTTTAAATTGGTATATTGATTTTTTGAGTTTATGCTTACAGTCTTTTCTGATTTTTCCATTATGACAGTCGCTGCAATTCTTGCAGAAGAATTCCGCATTTCTGGTAGTCTTATATTGATTACTGTCACAACCACACAAAGTGTTTTCCCACTTGGTACAATGGAACTTTATTATTTGCTGAAAGCCTGGGAAGAGTGAGGAAAAGCTGAGTATTTCTATTGAGATCATACTGCTGTTTATAATAGCAGAATAGTCTGAACATCAAACCAAACTGGAGGGCTTTTATTTTTGTATACAATGGTTAATTTGTAAAACAGTTCTAATGCTTACATTTCATATCATTAAAAATATAAATTTACAAGCCAGTTTGGTGTAGTGATTAAAGTGTTGGCCTAGAAACCAACAGAATGAGTTCTAATCCCACTTTAAGACATGAAAAATGGATGGGTGACCTTGGCCAGTCACTCTCTTTCAGTCCAACCTACCTCACAGGGTTGTTGTTGTGAGAAAAATAGAAGGAGGAAGGAATATTATGTGTGCTCACTGCCTTGAATTATTTTTTAAAATAATAAAGGTGGAATAAAATCTAATAAAATAAATAATATAAAAACGTATTTGAATTTATAAAAAAGATCCATAAAACTCCATATAATGGTTCCTCCTCCAAAAATCTGTGCCAATGAGCCCACACTGACAACATTTTTAGCAGACTGTTGTAAAACATGATTCCTGACCACTTTATCTTTATCCGTCATTTTAATCCAGCTTTAGCCCTGCCCTTAACCTCCCCCTTCCCCTCTCTTTCCCGATGTATAAATGTAATTTATAATTTGGTTTTATTGTACAGGACTCTGTATCCAGAACAGAACATAAGGATGCAGATATTATAATAAAACACAGTAAACCTAATGAATAACATTAATAATAATAAAAAATATACACACACCAACAGCTATACGTACACAAATAAATACATAAAGTTCTAATGCTTACTTTGTTCATTAGTGCTCATTTTTAATCTAACCATATACAAAATTAAACTTACTTGTGCGGCAAGGTTGGCACGCAAAACACTTTTGTGAATAATTTTCTGTGGGCATATATGTACCTTCGGGACACACAGAGCATGTGGGTGCCTTATCTGGCCCAGAACAATGTTTTGAAAGATAAGTTCCTAGAAAATAAAAGGAAATCACCAGTGAATAAGAAAACCGCTGATACTGAAACTTTCAAATAATCTAAAAATGGAGGATGTAACTGTTTATTATTATATTTAGATATACTGACTCTATCAAGGACACTTTACTACAATTTTATTTATTTATTTATTTATTTTATTAAATTTCTATACCGCCCTTCTCCTGAAGGACTCAGGGCGGTGAACAGCCAGAAGATAAAACACAGAAATACAAAAATTTAAAATAGATTAAAAACAAATTAAATAATTTGGCTGAATTTAAAATACTCCATAATTTAAACAGATTAAAATTTATATTTAAAATTTATATTTAAAAGGGGAGAAGATTTAGGCCAGGCCAGCTAGATGAAATAAAAAAGTTTTAAGCGCGCGACGGAAGGTGCGCAAATCCGGGATCCTCCGTATCTCCGGGGGGAGCTCGTTCCAGATCGTAGGTGCCCCCACAGAGAAGGCTCTCCCCCTAGGGGCCGCCAGTCGACATTGTTTGGCCGACAGCACCCGGAGGAGCCCCTCTCTATGGGAGCGTACTGGCCCGTGGGAGGCTATTGGTGGTAGCAGGCGGTCCCGTAGATAACCAGGTCCTAAGCCATGGAGCGCTTTAAAGGTGATAACCAGAACCTTGAAGCGCACTCAGAAGACCACTGGGAGCCAGTGCAGCTTGCGCAGGAGAGGTGTTACATGGGAGCTCCACGTTGCTCCCATAACCACCCGCGCAGCCGCACTCTGCGCCAGTTGGAGCCTCCGAGTGCACCTCAAGGGGAGCCCCATGTAGAGAGCGTTACAATAGTCCAGACGAGAGGTGACGAGGGCATGAGTGACTGTGTGTAGGGAGTCCCGATCTAGAAAGGGACGCAACTGGCAGATCAGGCAAACCTGATGAAAAATCCTCCCGGTCACGGCCGTCAAGTGCTCTTCTAAAGACAGCCGTGAATCCAGGAGGATGCCCAAGTTGCGAGCCCTTTCCGTGAGGGCCAATGATTCGCCCCCAATAGTCAGCGATGGCACCAGCTGACTATATCGGGACGTCGGAAACCACAGCCACTCAGTCTTGGATGGGTTGAGCCTGAGCCTGTTCCTCCCCATCCAGATCCGTACGGCCTCCAGGCACCGGGACATCACTTCAAGGGCATCGTTGGGGTGGTCCGGGGTGGAGATGTACAGCTGGGTGTCGTCAGCGTACTGATGGTACTTCACCCCGAAACCACAGATGATCTCGCCCAGCGGCTTTACATAAATGTTGAACAAAAGGGGCGAGAGGACCGATCCCTGCGGCACCCCACACATGAGGGGCCTCGGGGTCGACCTCTGCCCCCCTGTCAAAACAGACTGCGACCGGTCGGAGAGAAAGGAGGAGAACCACTGTAGTACAGTGCCTCCCACCCCCAACTCTTCCAACCGGTGCAGCATGATACCATGGTCGATGGTATCAAAAGCCGCTGAGAGATCTAACAGGACCAAGACAGAGGAGCAACCCCTGTCCCGAGCCCTCCAGAGATCATCAACCAACGCGACCAATGCCGTTTCTGTGCTGTACCCAGGCCTGAAACCCGACTGGAACGGATCTAGATATGATGTTTCATCTAGGTGCTGGGGGAGCTGTCGCGCAACCACACGCTCAACAACACTCCAGTTAGAGACTGGACGATAATTAGCCAATACTGCCGGGTCCAGGGAAGGCTTCTTGAGGAGAGGCCTCACCACCGCCTCCTTCAAGGCAGCGGGGAAGGCACCCTCGCCCAATGAAGCATTTATAATCCCCTGGAGCCAGCCTCGCGTCACCTCCTGGGAAGCCAGTACTAACCAGGAGGGACACGGGTCCAACAAACATGTGGTCGCGTTCAATCTACCCAGAATCCTGTCCACGTCATCTGGGGTCACAGGATCAAACTCGTCCCAGATAACATTCTCAAGACCTGCCTCCGTCACCCTCGCTGGACCTACCCAGTCGGAGTCCAGACCTTCCCGAATCTGAGTGATTTTGTCATGCAGATATTGAACAAAATCCTCGGCTCTTCCCTCCAAGGGGTCTTCCCGCGCTTCCTGGTGGAGCAGGGAGCGGGTCACCCTAAACAGGGCGGCTGGGCGATTATCTGATGACGCAATAAGAGCAGCAAAATGGGTACATTTTGCAGCTTTTATCACCACTAGGTAATTCTTAATATGAGATCTTACCAGTGTCCAGTCCGATTCAGAAAGACTAGCACTCAAACTGCTCTCTAGGCGTCTTTTCCGGTGCTTCATCTCCCTCAGCTCCTCAGTAAACCAAGGAGCCAGGTGAGATCGGCACCGGGTCAGAGGCCGCAAAGGCACGACTCGATCCAGAGCTCCAGCGGCCACCCTATCCCAGGCGGCCACTAGGTCTCCAGTCGAGGCGTGTGCAAGATCCTCGGGGATTGGCTCAAGCTCCATCTGGAACCTATCAGGTTCCATCAGGCGCCTGGGGCGGTACCATCTTACCGGTTCCGCCTCCCTGCGGCGGGGTACCGCGGTTCGAAGGTCAAGGCGAAGGAGAGAGTGATCTGACCATGACAAGGGCTCAATGACTATGTCCCCTATCTCAAGATCACTGAACCACTGTCCAGAGACAAAAACCAGGTCCAGTGTGTTTCCCCCCCTGTGTGTAGGGCCATGAATTAGCTGGGTCAGGTCCATGGCCGTCATGGAAGCCATGAACTCCCGAGCCACGTCAGATGCCTCACCCGCGGACGGCAGGTTAAAATCCCCCATGACCATAAGTCTGGGGGTATCAACCGCCACCGCGGCGATAACATTGAGCAGCTCGGGCAGGGCTGTAGCCACGTGGCAGGGAGCCAGGTACGTGATCAACAAGCCCATCTGAACCCCATGACCCCACTTCACAAGGAGGGACTCACAACCGGCCGTCTGAGGAACAGTGGTCTCCCTTGGCCTAAGGCCTTCTCTAATAATAACCGCTACTCCCCCGCCCCTCCCCTGAGGCCTCGGCTGATGGAATGCGTGGAAGCCTGGTGGGCACATTTCTACCAGAGGGACCCCTCCCTCCGGCCCACAATCCAAAACAATTAAAATTTTCACAATAATAACATTAAAAATAAAATGTTTATGGCTGAATTTAAAATAAATGTACTAAATACTATCACAACTCATGATAAATGGACAATTATAAATTGACCAAGGTTTTATAATAGACAAGAAATACATCCAAACCACCACCACCACAGCCAACACAGGTCAGGAAGAACTCTGTTTTGGCTATCTTCTGGAATGCTATTATAAGAGAAGGCAATCTAATTGGGTGGGGAGGGGGGCATGCCATAAAAGCAAGGTTCTAACAGCACTACTGCCCTGACTTCACAGAAATTATGAACAACCAAGACTTTCTCCCTTGATGAACATGCCAAGTAAATTGATTCTGGTTGGAAAGGGTGGTCCTGTCCTGGGGCCAAGCTGTGCAGGGCTTGATAGTTCAAAACCAGCTGTTTGAATTTCAGTATGCCTGGAAACATATTGGCAATCTATTCCAGCTCACAGCACAAGTGTTAGGTGCTCTTTTATGTCAAACCCACCAAGAACTGGGTTATCATATTCTACACCAAGAGCGTTTTGAGTGGTTTTACAGGCAACCCCAATAGATCACGCAGGTAGTGATGACTGCATGAACTACTGTTGTGAGGCAAAATATAGAAGCTAGCAGCTAGTGTTATCAATCAAAAACTCTTGAGCACCCCCTCAAGCATCTTTTGTGGCTCTTGGGACTCCTTCAAAGCATAGTAGTTGAAAATCAATAATAGCGTACAACAGTGGTGAAATGTAAAATTTGTTACTACCGGTTCTGTGGGCGTGGCTTGGTGGTGGGGGGTAATGTGACTGGGTGAGTGTGGCCAACTTTTTTTTTAAACTTTTAAAAGCATTTTTTCTAAAACCTCTTCGGCTGAAAAAAAATGCTTTTAAAAGGCTTTGATGATCCCAGCTGAGTTGCCTGATCGTCAGAGGCTCTTGTTTTCTTTTAAAAGCATTTTTTTTTTTTGCTTTTAAAAGAAAAAAAGCCTCTTGACGATCAGGCAACTCAGCTGGGATCGGCCGAAGAGGTTGTAGAAAAAATGCTTTTAAAAGGCTGTGACAATCCCAGCTGAGCCGCGCGATCATCAGATGCTTTTTTTTTTACTTTTAAAAGCATTTTTTGGGCCGAAGAAAAAATGCTTTTAAAAGCAAAGAAAAAAGCCTCTGATGATTGCACAGCAAAGCTGGGCATGTTGGGGGGGGGAGCAGGGATTTTTGCTACCGGTTCTCTGAACCACCCGCCGCCATCGCTACCGATTTGGGCAATCCGGTCCGAACCGGGAGCATTTCACCCCTGGCGTACAGCTACTTTGAAGTTGGAAACAGAAAAAACTATTATTTGATAAACGGGGGAAAGAAGGATGGAGGTAGCCTTAATTGTAAAAGATATGTTAATATTTACTGACAAACCTGAGTCTTTCATACAGAGATTAAACAAATAAATTGAACATTTGGGAATCCTTTCTGACTATGAAATTAAGACTTAATCTGAACTGAGCACTCTCTTTCAGCCCATCCCACCTGACAGGGTTGTTGTTTAATATATTTCTTATACAGTCAAACATGTTTCCTCTGTAGGCTGCCATTTTTTCCTCCTTGGAATTGCTGTCATTATATTTCAATATCTGCTGAACAAGGTTACGATCAGGAGAGAACTGAACTATGTATTTACCCAGTTCTGAGGCCAGTGTATTTTCCAATTTCCTGACAAGTGATCAGAACAAGCCAATAGAAAATCCCTGTCTATGTAAGGCTTCTAGCCAATAAATAACTCCTCCAGCAGAACAATGCCAGGGATTATTAGTTTCCTCTAACCTAAAACTGGCAGATTTTAGGAGGGGAGGGAGGGCAAGAATGCTTTAGTTGTTAAGAGCACATCTATAAGCATATGTTCCCACATAAGCTCTCATCCATACATCTATTCTTACAAACAGTCC